AACACCTTCTTCTAACATGGATTCCTTCCTGAGGGGGGGGGGGTCCCACCCCGGACAACTTTCTGAACATGAATGGTTCTGAAATTTGGGGGAACTCATTCCTTATTTTTCCTATTTCTCTCAATGGTCTGGAGTCTGGCTTTGTGGTACTTTGCAGAATAAAAGTCAATCTCTTCATTCTAGAAGATGTTCAAAGTAATGATTCCCAAAACCCGCCTGCACATTTGAAAACAGGGGGGGGGTCTTCCAATACATTCAGGGTCCCCTCTAGAACCCTCACAGTGGCACTACTTGGTAGTAGGGGACAGGCATCAGTATTTTCCAAAGCTGCCCAAGGGATTAGAATGTGCATCCCCGGAGGGGTCCCAGACTGCGAGAGGGCACAGGCCGGGCTGGGGGACCCCCCCCCCCCCCGAGGGCACAAATTTTTGTGCCCTGGGCCTCTAGTCAGAAATGGTATTCCGACAATGTCAACTTTGTCATAATCTATTTGGAATCAGACTTTCATAGCAAGAAGCTACTTTAAAGATCATCTATTTCAGATTTTTTCTAACTATGCAATAGTTTAAAATGATGGAAACAATGTTTTCCTATTTAAGTGCCCATGAAGGCCTTAATACACACATCTTTACTGAATTCCCACAGCCATCTTAAGAAGACAGGCACTATCACCTGAATGCCAAGAACAACTTGAACTTCTAGTGGCACACCCAGCAGGGTTGACCTTTCCTAAGTGTGCATAGGTCCTTACAGATTCAATTTACTCTTCCCACCACTGAGGAAGAAGAGGACCCAAGCAGCCTGTCCAAATTCCTATAAGCTGTTAATAGAGCTGGGGCTAATCCTCATAGGTTTTTCATCCTTCTATAACAAAATGTAGTTAAATCTGATGGAAAGTGATAAGAAATTTGTGTTATCAAGAATGACAGGTAAATGAAATATGAGAAGACCATAACTTACAAATTCCCATCAGTAGCAATATTTTTATATAGTAATTTTCTATCTTCAATCTTAAGTCATCCTTTGAACAGCTAAGATTTGAGCTGTTTGTTCTGTGCCAGAGCATTTATATATTCTCATTTATGTCTCAAAAATCTCAAGGACAGGTACTACTATTCATAGTTTGTAGATGGAGAAACTGGCATATAACCTGCTTATTTTAAAGTCTTAGGTATAAAAATAGAATCTATTTTATAAAAATGAATTATGCTTGCGTATACATTTTAATAGGTTTTCCCCTCAACTATAGATACATTTAAAAAATCATAGTTTTGTATTTTTTTTTTAAAATATATTTTATTGATTTTTTACAGAGAGGAAGGGAGAGAGAGAGAGAGTCAGAAACATCGATGAGAGAGAAACATCGATCAGCCGCCTCCTGCATATCTCCTACTGGAGATGTGCCTGCAACCCAGGTACATGCCCCTGACCGGAATCGAACCTGGGACCCTCCAGTCCACAGGCCGACGCTCCATCCACTGAGCCAAACCGGTTTCGGCAGTTTTGTATTTTTTTTTTAAATCATAGTTTGTGTGTTTTCCAACATGATTATGTGAAAATTTTTGGTAAATAAGTACTACTTACATACCACTATAATACCATCTAATCAAAATGCACATTCTTTCATTATCTGCTTTTTTCCAGTCTAAACTCTATCTACAAGCTGTGGCCACAGAAAGTTCACAAATAAAGTTAGTAGCTAAAGAGAACTTACGGATCACCAGCGCCTGATAAATCTGTTCCATTTTCTTCATAATCTGGAAAAAAGTCTTCTCTTTCAAGTAACTCTTGATATTTCTCTTGGTAATCTAAGAAAAATGAAAATAATGAAAAAATTTAAATGCTGGAAAAATTCACAGGAAATATGTATTAGCCAGTTTTTCCTAAGAAATTTTAATATTATGACTTTTCATTTAAGTACATCCAAAGTTTAAACATCAGTAAGCTATGTATATTCATCTAGTACAGTGGTTGGCAAACTGCAGCTTGTGAGCCACATGCGGCTCTTTGGCCCCTTGAGTGTGGCTCTTCCACAAAATACCACGTGTGGGTGCGCACGTACAGTGTGACTGAAACTTCGTGGCCCATGTGCAGAAGTCGGTTTTCAGAAAGGAGATAGATGAAACAAGTATACAAGACGAGTGTGGATGGGAGAGTTGGAAGGAGTCGACCTCATCCTCAATCAGATTGAGGACGTTTTTAGCAAAGGCCAGTTTAGGAGTACCCTAACTAAGTTAATAACAATGTATCTACCTATATAGTTTAAGTTTAAAAAATTTGGCTCTCAGAAGAAATTTCAATCGTTGTACTGTTGATATTTGGCTCTGTTGACAAATGAGTTTGCCGACCACTGATCTAGTAAGTCAGTTTAATTACATATTTAAGAATAGCTTTTACAAAACCTATCCTAATTGGCTTGCTTCTGCCCCCTGAATCCTCATGACTCTAAATTATATACATATTCCTCTAAATGTAAGTTGGAAATCAAAGCCACTGTGCATATACCAGAGGACATTTCACAGGCTATGTGTATGTCTACATTCTCTCCTGCTTCTTTCCATCAGGCAAAATACTGGCTATATAGTTTGTGGAGAAGAACACAGTGTTCTCCATTCTCTCCTATTTTCCTTCCACCAGGAGAGATTTCAATCAAACGCCCTGGCTTCTGGGTTCTGTTATCCTCCCCAAGGGGGTAAAGTGATCTATCTATCTGGCTGGCAGGTAATAGCCACTTTTCCATGTTCCTCAGTCAGTGGAGGCCACCCTAACACGGCTCCGAGCATAGGGCATTTTCTTTCCTTCCTTGTCCTAGAGACAGCTGGGAGGTAGCTACCTAATAAATGTTTCAGCTCTACCACCTTTCCCTCAGTGGGCTCTTCCTAGGCAATACGGGTGACAGGATAGCTCTCCATCTGCCAACTGCCTGAAGCACAGTGACTGAGTATCTTTAAGATTAGCATGTCTGTGTAGAGTCTTTACCTTTGAATAATAAAATGGATCAATGTATAAAAACTAGTTACCTTAAAAGTAGTTTCCTGTGAAAAACAGCTACCTCAGATTTCAAGAGGATAATATAATTATACTTGACTGGGTAAAGATGTTTTTTCCAAGATTGTCAGTTTCTAAACACATGAATTCCAGCTTAAAGGATTGGCAATATTTTGACATTCCATTTTGGCAATTTGGAGACCATTTTATCTTATAAAGCCCCCCCTGCAACAAATACTTGAGCTAACAGGTAAGAAACATTCTTTTAAATGTACAGATGAGTTCACAAAAAACATCAAGTCTCCTGATGACAGAAACGAAAGGGAACTGAAAGCCATACATCCTTATAGCAGCTGGAGGCTGGTGGACCACGTGGGCTTGGATTTAAAACCCACGGGTCAGAAAGAAAGGTCTTGGGCCCATTGAAGCAGGAATACGGAATTCACGCCCCACCTCATCCACTCTGCACAAAACCAGGTCATTCAAAGGGCTAATATCCTGCCTGGCCATTGTGGCTCAGTGACTGAGCATCGACCTATGAATCAGGAGGTCATAGTTCCATTTCCGGTCAGGGCACATGCCCAGGTTGTAGGCTCAATTCCCAGTGTGGGGGCATGCAGGAGGCAGCCAATCAATGATTCTCTTTCATCAATGAAACGTTCTATCTCCCCCTCCCTCCCTCTCCTTCCTCTATGAAATAAGTAAAATTTAATTTAAAAATAAATAAATAAAAGGGCTGATATCCCAAGCAAAAAATGGAACAGGAAAAAAGCAAACTGCAAAACATCTCAGTGGCAAAGAAGTTTGGTGTATCTGTCTAGGTTTGGAATGGGAGAGAAGTACTCTGGTACACACAGTTACATGGTACACACAGGCACATTTTACCTAAGAGAGGAAGGACGACTCAACACCTGCTGTTGACATGAGATACTATGGGAAAAATATTGAATTCTGGCCGAAACCGGTTTGGCTCAGTGGATAGAGCGTCGGCCTGTGGACTGAAAGGTCCCAGGTTCGATTCCGGTCAAGGGCATGTACCTGGGTTGCGGGCACATCCCCAGTGGGAGATGTGCAGGAGGCAGCTGATCTATGTTTCTAACTATCTATCCCTCTCCCTTCCTCTCTGTAAAAAATCAGTAAAATATATTTAAAAAAAAAATATTGAATTCTGCTATACCCACATATAAAAACTAGCCAAACAATGAAAGACCTAAATATAAAGCAACAGAAGATACACAGAAAATGGGATTTGCTAGTAGTGAGGGGACTAAGTCACAGAGAGCACAAACAAGACATGACTTAGTTTACATTCAACTCAAGGCTTCCATTGCTAAGATAAACAAAAGGGAAGGGCAGCCCATACTGAGAAAAGCTGACTATGGGTGACTTTCTAGGCTATGCAAGTAATTACAAATCAACAAGACAAAGGCTCCAACGCAAATGTTCTCAAAGGAACAAATAAAAAGTTCAACAGAAACATGAAAAGAAATTCAGTATCATTAGTGGAAAATAAAAATTCACAATTTTATACAATCGGACTGACAAAAATTAGGTCTGGTAACAGCATTGCCAAAGATGAGAACTAGGAACTCTCACACCCTGGAAATACTAAGTAGTATGATCACCCTGGAAAGCAGTATAACAACATTTAGTGAAGCTGAAGATGCAAATAGCCTGTAATGTGACAGTTTTGCCTCCTCACTGTAGAGGAACTTCCGCAAGTGCACAAGGACCTAAAGATGTTTGTGCAGCACTGCCTGTGGACCACCCGGCCACCCACAGCAGGAATCTATGAACTTGCTCCCACACGCTGCTTTAGTTTTTTCTCTTGCTCACACTGCAGTCCCATTATTATCTGGCATTTAAAATAAGGGAACCAAAGCTATATGTATCAACACATATAAATCCCAAAAGTAATACTGAATAAAAATAAGTTGCAAAAAGCAGGGTATAGTAAGATACAACTTTGGGTTAATACTTCTGTGTGAGACAATCCAGTTTATAGACACATGAGGTAAAAATCAGTGACACAAACTTGGGACAGTAGTTACCTCTGGAAGAGAAGTGACAGGACTAAACTTGGGTGACGGATCAATGACCAGGGAGAATGGTTTAGCAGTTATCTGTAGGGTTTTATTTCTTTAAAAGGCCCAAAGTATACAGTAATATGGTAACGTGACCTTAGTTTAATCTTTTCTTTTTTTAAATTCTTTACTGTTTGCCCTAACCCAGTGGTCGGCAAACTCATTAGTCAACAGAGCCAAATTATCAACAGTACAACGATTGAAATTTCTTCTGAGAGCCAAATTTTTTAAACTTAAACTATATAGGTAGGTACACTGTTATTAACTTAATTAGGGTACTCCTAAGGCTTAGGAAGAGCCACACTCAAGGGGCCAAAGAGCCGCATGTGCCTCGCGAGCCGCAGTTTGCCGACCACGGCCCTAACCGGTTTGGCTCACTGGCTAGAGCGTCGGTCTGCGGACTGAAAGGTCCCAGGTTCGATTCCCGCCAAGGGCATGTACCTTGGTTGCGGGCACATCCCCAGTAGGAGGTGTGCAGGAGGCAGCTGATCGATGTTTCTAATTCTCTATCCCTCTCCCTTCCTCTCTAAAAAAATCAATAAAATATATTTTTAAAAAATTCTTTATTGTTTAAAGTATTACATAACTCTCCCCCCCCCCCCATTGACCTCTCCCTGATCCCAAACTTAGTTTAATCTTGACTGTGAATCAACAAGTCAATTTTTTGTGGTTTTCATTTTTTTTTTATTGTTTCCTAATTGAAAGCTGGAGTTAAGTAGCCATTTCTCCTTCCTACATTCCTGTGCTACAGGCAAGGATAATCAGAGCCGGATACCCAGCAGGACAAATGGGGAAATGCTGACCATCAGCTGGTTGTAGTTTGTACTAAATGGGAAACTTCTCTCTTGCTCACACTGCAGTCCCAATTATCACAAGCAATGCTTCTACAAATGCCATCTTCTGGAAGGGGAAGTGTGCAGAGGTTTAGATTTTTAATAAACTTTGACCCACCAAGTATTAATAAAATCCGTAATTCTTAGTATCTGCAAGTATTGACCCGTATTAATAAAAGCTGCTGACTACATAGTGAATTAGAACCATCTTTTCCTTCCATTCTAATCAACTAAAGTTCAGAGTATGAAAACAAAGTATGAGAGGAAATACAAAATAAAAATGGTGGCATTTAATTGAGGGATTCTCCTGACCCTTCATTGTTAGGGTGATCAGACACATTCCACTTGAAATGGTTTCTAGTGGTTACTGTAAAGAACACCACATATGAGACAAGCCTTCACCTTCCTTTTCAGAATGATATGAACTCTTTGAAAAGCTAGAGTTCTGTGCTGGTAAAGGGATGATTTTCTGCAATTTCCTATCTTACCAAAAACTAGGGGGGGGGGGGGGGGAGACCATGAGACAAGATACCTGGATCAGCTGCAGTGAAAGGAACACCATCAGATGTATAAAATGTTGGTTCATTCTAGGATGAAACAAAGGGACAAAAACATGTCATCCTCTCACAATTGATTTTTTAGAAGCACATTATCAATGAAGCATGGCTGATGCCACCCAGCTGCACCTCATAATGCAATATAAAAACAAGCAAACACGAGCCTCCCGGCTGCTACTGCCTCTTCATTGGGAAAGTCTCTGCTCTTCAGATTCATTCTATCTCGAGTTCTTGTTCTAACACTGTGTCTACGGTCTGTCACTCACAGTGAACTGTTCTGCGGTGCAGTGTGACTCAGCGTCCACTCAGATTTCGTTTTGGTTCCCCCTTCCCACCATTTTTCTGAGATGGGGGTTATAGGAACAACCTATATATATAAAACCCTAATATGCAAACAGACCAAATGGCTGAACAACCAGTCGCTATGACGTCCACCAGGGGTGCGCGCGGAACATGGCGGGCATCAGCAGCAGGTGGCAGAGCGTGGAACATGGCGGGCGTCACCCACGGCGGGATGGTGGAGCAGGTGAGCCGGGGCACCAGACCAAGGCAGGGCACTGGCTGCTGTCATCAGGGCGAGCCTCTGGTGATTACTGAAAATTCTTTGCTCCCACACGCTGTGATCCCGTCTGGCACTCGCACCTGCTGCCGGCACCGGCCCTGCTTGCACCTGGTGCCAGTGTCCAGCGCCAGTCCCAATCACTTGGCGCCGTCAGCAAGTGCAAGCAGCGGCTGCCAGCCCCGATTGCCCCTGAGGGCCTCTCCATCTCCCCCTGCTCCTGAGGGGCGACAAGGGCAGCAGCCGCCACTTGCACCTGCTGACAGTGCTGGCCCCAATCGCTCCGCACCATCAGCACGTGGGAATGGCGGTGGGAGTGGGGCTGCCAGCAGACAGGGGACTGGGGGCCGTGGCAGGAGGGGCCGGGAGGGGGTGCAGAGGATGGGCCAAGACTTGCCCCTGTGCCCACCATGGCCCACAGTTCAAGGTGCACAAATTCATGCACTGGGCCCCTAGTCCTATATAATAAATGCCTAATATGCTAAGTGTCCCACCGTTCGACCAGTAGCTATGACGCGCACTGACCACCAGGGGGCAGACGCTCCAACTCCGGTAGGTTAGCTTGCTGCTGGGGTTCGGCAGATCGGGACTGGGCAAGAAGGTCCGGACATGCCCTGGAGCCCTCCTGTGGTCCCTCTCCAGTCCCGATCGTGCACCAGTGGGGTCTCTTGGCCTGGCCTGCACCTTCTCGCAAACCAGAACACCTTGGGGAATGTTGGAGAGCCAGTTTCGGCCTGACCCCCGCAGGCCAGGCCAAAGGACCCCACCACACGGGTCTGTGCACCTGGCCTCTAGTTCCTCCCTAATTGCTGTGTTTGGTCATGTTGGGAGCTTCCGGGATCATTGGCCTGGTAATCATTTTTATTTTCTTAGCTTCCTTTATGATAACATACAAAGTAACAGTTTGAGCTGCAGGCCTTGGTTATGAATTCCCTGGGAAACAGTTTCCTGGAATCCCTACACTCACTTAAGTCCAAGTCTCATCATTTCCCTGGCCATTGGGTGGCTCTTTCTCTAATCCACCCGCCATGGGAGGAACCCATGTCTCTTCTATTTACCTGCTCTGCTTGCTGCCAGGGACCCTAAGCCAGTGAAAAGTTATTAGGCATTAAATTCTGGGAATGGCTTTATGTAACTCGTAGAAATTTCCAAAGTTGAATTCAAGCAATAAGCAACATTTAAACAGCAAACACTGGCATACCATAAAATAGTTGGGGTCATTTTCAGGTGTTGCTTCTCTGTATGTTGAGGTTACATGGACTCTACCCCAGTTACTTGACCGGAGCTCTACAAGCTTCAAGAGCATCTGCTTCACGTCTCTGCAGACAGAAGTGGAAAAGGAGTGAGTGAGTGTATCCACCCTATGTGTTGTCAGGCTCTAAAATACCAGACTCCTACCACCATTTCACCAATTTAACATGTACAGTCAATGCTTTAATTTTCCACACATCTCCTATAATGACACAAATTCACCCTTAAAAAAAAATAGCCTTGAAATTTGTTCCATGTAAGTACCTATATGGTTCCTAAATGCAGTGGCCATCCTGCAAGCATATCTATGCTTCCTACTAGACTGAGAGTAGTACACCTAGGCATTTACTGAATAACTGAGGAAAAATGGCTAGGGGAGCAGAAGCCACAGGTAAAATGCTGTGCCTTTAATAAAAGGTTTCTGTGGATGAATCTGTAAGATTTCAATTGTTCCGATGAAGCACAGCTGATTAAAAGAAAAGTAAGGACTTGGCTCCCTGGCGTCCACCTCCCTTCTCCTACCTGCTGCAGTGCGCGTCCAGGACGACATTTTCAATCCTCTGGATAACTTCCTCCATGTCCGTCTTTCCTTTTTCCTTCCAGGCATCTTCCAACACTGACCCTGTCAACTAAAAGACACAGGGATCAATAAAAGAAAGAATTCAATCAAGTATCAATATTCTAAAAATATAATAGTAGCACTTCAAGCATTCTTCCCTACCCCAAGCATTCTTTTTTAAAAATATATATATTTTGATTGATTTCAGAGAGGAAGGGAGAGGGAGAAACATCGATCAGTTGCTGCCGGTAGGCACCCCAACCGGGGATCTAGGTTGAACACTCGACCTTTAGGTATACAGGACAGTGGTCCAACCAACTTAGCTACACTGGCCAGAGATAGAGTTATATATTTTTTAAGTATATTTTTACTGATTTCAGAGAGGAAGAGAGAGGGAGAGACAGAAACGATGAGAGAGAATCACTGATTGGCTGCCTCCTGCATGCCATGCCCATGCTGGGAATTGAGCCCACAACCCGGGGCTGTGCCCTGACTGGGAATCGAACTGTGACTTCCTGGTTCATAGGTCAACACTCAACCACTGAGCCACGCCAGCGGGACTAGACTTATAACTTTTTAACTTTACACTGGTTCAGAGGCAATGAGCATTCAGTAGAAACTAAAACTGCTTTGAATTTTTTATCTTCCCCCAGGCTGGTGACATGTGGTACGATCCTCTCTCAGGATGCTGGACAATGGCTATGAGCTGCAGCTCCCAGCAGGTATGTAATCAGGAGAGCAAACAATCGATACTCAACCGTGTTTTCATTGGTGGATGATTCTGCCCAACTGCAGCCTAATGGAAGTGTTCTGAGCAAGTCTGAGATAGGCTTGGCTAAGCTCTGTGGTTTGGTAGGTTAGGTGTATTAAATGATATTCAACTTACAATATTTTCAGCTTACAGTGGGTTTAGGGAGACATAACCTCATCCTAAATCAAGGAGCATCTGTACTTATCAAATTAGGGTAAACATGCTCTCTGGTTCACCAAACCTATGTGCAGGCATTTAACCTATATAAAGACGATGAACGATGATCAACAATGCTGCCGAGACTAAATTAAAAGTAATCCACTGTTCGGCAACAATGGGTAAACAATGTTCATGTAAACACTGGAACACTGGGAAGCTACTGCAGAAAGAAGTCAATCTGTGTGCCACGCAAAGATCTAAGATCTTCCGTAGGTGGAAAAGCAGCAGAGTCAGATGGTACTTATGAGATACACCTACAGACGTGGGGAAGGAAGGGGCACCTCGAAGGACTCCCATTTTTCACTCTAAAATCCACTTCTTACAGTAAATAAGCATGTATTGCTTTTCTAATATATTTAAATTCCAGAGCAAAATAAAATGTCAATATTTAACTTAACGTAATAACTATGTTGAATTCATTTGTGTACTATATATCTACTTTCCTTTCTCCAAATTATATGCTAGATGGGTAGAACAGTTAGTTACACTTTAAGGAAAGAAAATAAGTAAAACCTACCTTTAGTAATTTTACTGCGCAAATTAGGTTATCATCCACAGGGTTAGAAAAGAGGGCATTCAGCAACTCCCGAAGACCAGCCTGAAGAATATCTGCTCTTGTAACCTGCCCATTTGTTCCTTTGATCTTTGGGGACAAAAGAAAATGAACAGCAACTATGCCAAAACATGATACAGATATATAAATGATCTAACAAAGTGTTGGCAAAATAAGCACTTTAAAACGATACAAAAATCATAGGGACACACTCTGATATCTTCACAAAATTAGACTTACCTTACATATAACTAAAATTTCTAACAGAACTAGTCAACTATAGGTCAAACTTTTCATTTATCACATGTAATGTGTGGTCTGGATAACGTAAGCCTCCTTGAATGTTACTGCTTCATAAAGCATCTCTCGTCTACTAAGCTACCTCCCCCCTTTTGGGGAACACACAGCATTTTACTCTTCGGTTCATATACTGTTTACAAATACTCTGGTTTTGCATGAGAATGGTCTACGTGTCTTGGCTCTCTGGCTGGAAGAACTTCAGGCTCGAGAGCCATGCCTGGTCTTCCCCCTCCCCCACACAGCACCATAACTTCCAAGGAGAAATGCAGAGCATCTTAAACGGCTCTCCGTCCAAGGCACGTTTGTATTGGTGCTCTTATTGTGGCTCATAACAATAGAAAAGATTAAGACATGAAAGTTTTAGAAAACTGAGCCTCTGTGACAAAAAGGGACAGTCAAGTGGGCACTGGATTGGACGAAGACTTGTAGATGCCCTGATGTACATCTGATGGTGGATTCTTGTCTTTTCAGTGGTGTTTATGGTGCTAAGTCCCCAATTCAGGCTTAAATAGATAAACCTGAACCTGAGACTAACTAGTCAGGACTAACTTGTCAAAGAACAAACTGAATATCCTTTACAAAATACTATCTCGACTTAAATTGCCTACTAACCAGCATATGCTCACATACCACCAATTTACAAACAAGGTTAGCTGTACCCTTTGTACAAATGCATTTTATGTGGAAGATTAACATATAAAACAGGACCAAGACCTAATCTGGGTGAATTGGGTATAACAACCAAACTCTAGTCTCTCCCCTCTTCACTCAAAGATTTATGTCCTGCGGGTCAAGTTGTTTTTCAGTCACCATCTGAATGTCAACATGTTACGTGTACTAATGTCCCTGAGGCAAGAATCCAAAGAAGTATGCGTGTCTACATTTTAAACGCTCAAACACCCATGGAGCACACGAAGACTTTCCAGTGCTCAGAACTACTCAGCACCTTGCCCTGGAACAGGAAGACGGGCACTGAGTCGTCATTTTCTCTCCCATTTCACTCTTTACGTTGTAAAAGTAATGTAAACACAAATTCCTTATTGAGATCAATTTGTTCGCAAGCTTACTTAACAAAAGTACTTAACAAAAGAAAATGACTCCTCACCTCCAGCTTAAGATAAAGTTCTCCCAGAAAGAGCACAAACGCATGGAATCGTTTTCGAGTTGCTTCATCCCCCTTTGCAGCTTGATCTCTAAGTTCATATTCAGTCCGACATCTAATAGAGATAAACCTTTTATAATCTCACATTGCTTTGATTTTTAAACAAACAAGATGACCATTTGTTGGTCTGGTTGTTCACAAGCGATACAGAGGCAAGTACAATGCACCACGGCCCTGACTTTCTAGTGTAGAGACCATCACACATCATCTTCTCTTACTGAGATGCCTAGTTTTAAGAACTGATAGGAATAGTTGAAAATAAACCTATGAGATCAAGTGGTAGTTAAGTTTAAACAACAAAGGTTTTATGAGGTTCACATATACTGGCACTGTTTTTACCCAACCTGTCTCTGTAAAATGTTCTCTTTCTAATACATGAACTTTGAAACAGATCTTTAAAAATACATAAATATGGCCTCCATCTACACTGAAAATAAAATGAATTCTTATTAAGCCCATTATCCTTGTAATTTTCAGTATATAGATCAGAGAAAAGGGGAAGTCCCCAATTGAATAGACACATAGAAAGCAATTGATTTGGTCTCTATTTCTAATAGAGACTGAAGGAGTCAAATAACTTATTTCCCCCTGAATTGGCCCATTTGCCTTACATAAGTAAAAAAAGAAAGCTTTATGGACATAGTTTCCACAAGGGTTCTAAAACCATCACAGCGAGCCTGTTGCTGTCTGCCAGTGAATTAGAGGGTCAGCTATTGCTAACGCAGATTTTTAAATGGACTTTTAACTGTTACCATGTTGGTGGTCAATATTTTTCCTTATCTTTATTAGTAAGGTGGTGATAAGGTAGGACAGTTGTGTTTTCATAAAGTTAATCCTGGCAGTTCTTTTAAAGACCGTTAATCCTGGCAGTTCTTTTAAAGACCAAGGGAGGAACTCATGGAGACTAAATGGCTTTCATTCATGAAGGACCAGTTTAGGTTGCTTTGTAAAGCACTCTTTTTGGAAGAAAAAAGAAGTCACTTCTTGACGAAGGATTTATCTTTATGAATCAACCATAAATATACCCACGACAGCTCTAAGCTGGTTTGACTCAGTGGATAGAGCGTCAGCCTGCGGACTGAAGGGTCCTGGGTTTGATTCCAGTCAAGAGCACATGCCGGGGTTTCGGGCTCGATCTCCAGTAGGGGGCGGCATGCAGGAGGCAGTCGATCAATGATTCTCTCTCATCATTATTGATGTTTCTCTCTCTCTCTCTCTCTCTCTCTCTCTCTCTCCCCCTTTCTCTCTGAATTCAATAAAAATATATTTAAAACTAGAGGCCCGGTACACAAAAAATTGTGCACTGGGGGGGGGGGGTCCCCTCAGCCCGGCCTATGTCCTCTTGCAGTCTGGGACCCCTCGGAGGATGTCCACCTGCTGGCTTAGGCCCACTCCCTGGGGGATCGGGCCCAAGCTGCCAGTCAGACATCCCTCTGGCAGCCCGGGAGCCCTCAGGGGATGCCCACTTGCCAGCGGGGAGCAGGCCTAAGCTGCAGTCGGACATCCTTAGGGCTGCTGAGGAGGCGGGAGAGGCTCCCACCACCACCACTGTACTGGCAGCCATCAGCCTGGCTTGTGGCTGAGTAGAGCTCCCCCTGTGGGAGCGCACTGACCACCAGGAGACAGCTCCTGCATTGAGCGTCTGCCCCCTGGTGGTCAGTGTGTGTCACAGTGACCAGTCATTCCCAGTGGTTCTGCTGTTAGGGTCAATTTGCATATTACCCTTTTATTATATAGGATAGAGGCCTGGTGCATGGGTGGGACCAGCTGGTTTGCCCTGAAGGGTGTCCCGGATCAGGGTGGGGGTCCTGCTGGGGTGCCTGGCCAGCCTGAGTGAGGGGCTAATGGGTGTTTGCAGGCTGGTCACACCCACTTCGGGGTGGGGGTCCCCACTGGGGTGCCTGGCCAGCCTGGGTGAGGGCTGATGGCTGTTTGCAGCTGGTCACACCCCCTTCAGGGTGGGGGTCCCCACTGGGGTGCCTGGCAAGCCTGGGTGAGGGGCTGATGGCTGTTTGTAGGCTGGCCACAGCCCCTTCAGGGTGGGGGGTCCCCACTGGGGTGCCTGGCCAGTCTGGGTGAGGGGCTGAGGGCCGTTTTCAGGCTGGCCAAGCCCCCCAGCGATGGAAGCTCCCAGCCTCTTTCTTTCTTTCTTTCTTTTTTTTTATTCTTGGGTTTATTTACCTTCTATAATTGAAACTTTGTAGCCTTGAATGGAGCTCAGAGCTGGCCAGGGCGGGTGGGAAGCTTAGCTTCCTCCATTGCCAGGGGTAACCCAAGCCTCCTGCTAGCTCCAGCTCCATGGCCACGGCCGGCTGAAAGCAGGTATCTGGGGTTTATTTATCTTCTATAATTGAAACTTTGTTGCCTTGAGTGGAACTCAGAGCCGGCCACGGCAGGCAGGGAAGCTTGGCTTCCTCCATCACTGGGGCAACCAAGCCTCCTGCTTGCTCCAGCTCTGTGGCTGCTGGCTGCCATCTTGGTTGGGTTAATTTGCATATAGTCGCTCTGATTGGCTGGTGGGCATGGCTTAAGGCATAGCAAAGGTACCGTCAATTTGCATGTTTGTATTTTATTAGTGTCGATTAATAAATAAATACACTCAGGACAGCTTACTGGGCGCCCGTGTGGCTGATTCCGATGCTTATAAGCTGCATTAAATGAGCAACATCTTCTGTGTGAGTCAGAGACAGAAGGTATTTGTTACCTTCTCATACATATTAATTCCTCACCAGGAAAAAGTTGGGATATCTATAAATAGAACACTGTGGTTAATAATGGAAAGGATCAGTTAATTAATGCCAATTCAGTTATCCAGGCACCTTGCTGACTATTCTCCTTTCTCTGACCTTTCTTTTACGACCTTGCAGGTAAAATCTTTGAAATGACCTCCTTTTGTTTTATAAACACTAAGCTATTATGCATTAAGATATGTGAATGTATGTGCAAAAGCAAATTCCTACTCCTGTACATGGCTGATTATCTGGGTGGGAGAAAGAGCCTAAAACTTTTTAAGCTTAAGAGTTTCAACTATAAAAGTACCACATGCTTATTTCAGAAAGGTTAAAGCAGAGAAAAATAACAAAGTCACTGCAACCCAGCGACAACTGCTGTGCAGGTAACTTCTGTCTTCTTCAAGTGTGTATATACTGCGAAGTTAGGTAGTAGACTATGCCCTGCTTTTCACTAGTTATATGATTAGCATTTTCCGTGTTGACATCTAACAGTATCAATACTACAGAAGCATACATGGGGGCAGAGTCAGAAGAGTGGGAAGAGGGCTTCTCAACCACAGCTACACGGAAGAATCCTTGGGAAGCTTTAACAAACCATGCCGGGCTCCACCTCAGTCCATCATGCTGGAATTTCCCAGCAGGAGGCAGGGGCTCAGCCCTTTCACTGCGTCGCCAGGCTGAGCAGCAGAGAAGGGCGACCTTCCTTCCATCCTACTCCCGGAAGTGCCTGCTCTCACATCTTTCCAGAAGCTTTAATTTGCGTTTCTTTAACTACAGGGAAGGTTAGATATCTTTTCATAACTTTGTCATTTATATTTTTCCAAACTGTACCCATTCAGAGCCATTCCAAATATTTCTATTGAAATACTGGTCTTTTTCTTACTCATTCCTAACAGGCCCCTCCTTTCATCCTGTAGAATAAAAGGCTAATATGCAAATCGACTGAACGGCAGAATGACTAGTTGCTATGATGTGCACTGATCACCAGGAGGCAGACACTCAACAAAGGAGCTGCCCCCTGGTGGTCAGTGTGCTCCCACAGGGGGAGCACCATTCAGCCAGAAGCCAGGCTCACGGCTGGCGAGTACAGCAGCGGTGGTGGGTGCCTCTCCTGCCTCCGCAGCAGCTCTAAGGATGTCTGACTGATGGCTCCTGGACTGCAGGGCAGGCTGAGAGACGCCCCCCGCCCGCCCCCCCCCCACCACTATGCACTGGGCCTCTAGTATTAAATGAGGTCATTACCCTGTATTATATATTTTTACTTTAGTTCATATAAACTTATGACCCACCCCCAAATATTATAACCTATATGTAATTAAGTTTAATCTCTTGCTTCAGGGCCTGTGGGCATCATGTCTTGCTTAAAAGGGTTTTACCAACCTATGATTTTTGTTGGCAATTTCGGCCTATTATTTACTGTCTCACTTTAATTTAAATCTCTGTTGTATCTGAAATATATTTTGGTGTGAAGAGGCAGGAGCCCATCTTTGCTTTGTTGCTCCCCCAGCTGTGTTGGCAGCACACTTTCTATCATGCACGTGGACCTGAGCCACCACCAGTAAGCTTGATTTCCATGTGTTGCTGAAGTTACTTCTGCATATTCTTTCTGTTCCCATGCAGGCTAACCACACTGTGCAACCATTCAAAGTATCTCTAAAGAACTAATGTGCAAACTATAATAAACGCAGACAACCTTGTTGTTGAATAAAACTCAAAATATAAGAAAGTTAGTTCCCCCAAATTAGTTTATGAATTCAGTGTCATCCAAAAAATATCTAATAAATACCAACAAGAGTTATATAATTTCACATGCTGATTCTGAAGTTCACTGGAGGAAAAAAGCATGCAATAGCAAAGAAAATTCCACAAAACAATGGGGAACTAACTAGACCAGACATTAAAAATTAGAGCTTTTAAAAAACAGCATGGTAATAAAACAAATGATGAATGGAATATAATGAAAGTCCAAAATCAAAACCCTAATAGAAGGATATGGTGTGATAAAGGTAGCAAGCAGTTCAAATCAACAGGGAAATGGACCATTTCAAAAAAAGGGGTATGGGAAAAACTGGCTAAACACATGGTAATTAATAAATCAGATCCTTGCTTAAACCAAAGTACAAAAGCACTAAGAAATACATGGGATCATTTTTAAGAACTTGGGAAAGGCTTTTCTAAGCATAAAATCAAAGGCAGAGACCACTACAGACAAAGACTGATATATATATGTAAACTTTTAATACTGTTTAAGTAAGAATGGTCTGTTCTCTTCTCCCCTGTAACCTTCTATAATGTACAGTCTTTGGAAAAAAGGAATGGTCAAATTCTAGTACCTTCAAAAGTAGTTTTGCTTTAATTTCATATATTCACACTGACCTTTGAAGTAGCAATTGGCGGAAGTTGCCACTCTGTGAGCTAATTGTCAGGTGATGGGACAGGTAATTACACAGGCGAGCTCCCATGTAGGAGAAATTTGGAATGGACGTGGCCTTTCAAAAAGAAAAAAGTTTTGTATGACATAGATACATCGTCACTAATGCAAACAGCAACATTCCAGAGAGGAAAAACATTTCTACTCCCCAAACAACCATATTGTAAAGAAAAATGTACAAGTGTTTTATAATTGCCAGGCCTAAGGCAATTATGTTAACTCTCCCTCCCAACCTTACACCAAGAACCAGAGCCAGTACAAAGCAACATGTTTAAGGCAATTCCTCCCATCATTTACCAGAAAGCAAGCAGACAGTATGTCTTTATACTAACCCATTCTTGCACAAAATATGTACATGTACCCGGTTGCATAGTGCCAGTTATGAATAAGAGTATCCGCCAAACTATTGCTCTGCGCTGCTTCTCAGAGTCCAGAGTGAGGCTCCCAAGCCTTGTGCCGTGACTTTGGACATCACTAACCCTCCCTGAGCTTCAGTTTCCTGATTCCTAAAGAAGTGACTAATGGTACCTGGTGTGTGAGATTAACACTTAAAGAACACCCCAAAACACTTGGGGTAAAGAGGAAGTTAAAATGGATAAGCCATTAAAAAAAAAAGACAGTGAGAAAACACTACCTATCGAAGACTGTATGATATAGCCCAAGCTGTACTCAAGAAGTTTAACTTTCACTGTAGTCTTTAAATAGTAAAGAACATAGTTCATACCAAATGTTAGGTAAGAAAAAATACACGTTAAGAAGTTCAGGGACTTAGCCAAGGTCACAAAGGTAGTTAACCAGAGTTCAGATCTAACAAATGTCCTGATGCCCTTCTGACTCTATGCTGGCTCTACTAACTAGCTATGGTAACCTCAGACAAGTCATTTAACTTCTCTGTTAAGATCTGTATAAAATGGGCATAAGAATAATATCATGCAACCACTGAGGAGTAAATGAATTAACTACATGTCAAGTGTTCGGCATTGTGTGGCATACTGTAAGTACTTTATAATTATTAGATCTTTTTATTTCTAATTATTTTCTTGCTTGCCTAAGACCCTAAACATTTCTCATCAAGAAGACTGACTTCTCACATTTCAAATTCAAAAAGTCTACTCTTCCCATTATTGGCATGGCCTGTTTTCTTAGTTTACTTTTAAAATGGTCACACACAACTTAATGACAAGAAGTTCCACAGGCTGGTTAAGGCTTCCTGCTTCCCCACTACACTCTCGTTTACTCCCACAACCACTTGGATTCTTGCAGGTAAAATGTTTTACCTCTACCTGCATGAGCTGTAATCCCTCAGTTTAGACATCACTTCTTACTATTTCCTACCACAGAATATGAGCATTTAGATTTCACCCTGCTTAATCCCACTCTATTCCACTATTTTCCAACTCTTCCACCTTCCAATAACACCATGATTTTATTCCTTAGTTTTGTGTTTCCACTTACAGCTGAACCATGTGATTATACTTATTCCTTTCTTATACAACTTTGTTTTCCCTAGACACTAAGTTTTTTTTCTAGTACTTTGTTTTTTATGTATCTCTCAGATTTGTTCTTAAACTCACTAGTTTGTAAATTTCTTAGTATCTTCCAACGTAGCACCTGTGCTCATCTTACCAGGGAAATCTTTCCTGGAGCCTCAGCCCCACTCCTGGGAAGCCTGGCCTTTCGGCTGCTGTGCACATGGCTACTGTCTCGGGATCTCCCTTCACCATCGTGTGGGTGACACACAATCTGTAGAATTCCCCACTTCCTCCTCCCCATGTCTTCGTCCTCTGTTTAGTTCCTTTGCTTTATGGAGTACCTTCTTCAATAATTTCTCAAGAAAGGTTACAATAAAACTTCAAACTGCTACTCAGTGCAAAAATATCTAATTTTTTTAGATTTTCTAGCAATCTTTTTGCCTCATTCCTTATCCTCATCTTTTGGAAATTCTGCATTATAAATCAGAGAGATTCTCAACTATCCTCACCTGTTTGGAATTCAACTTATTTAGATCTGCCAAGTCAGTTAACACTGTCACACCTGCTTTCTAGTCCCAAACTGGGACTTCCATTCTCTTTCCCCACCTCGGTCCTCATGGCTTCTGGCCTTTCAAAATCTTCACACTGTCATTTAGTGGTATTTGGGGAAGAATTAAAGTTGGGTCTAAATATTTAATGTCATTTTTCTTTTTCTACAACAGGCCTTTTGTTAGTTGCTATGAGTAAACTCCCTCAATGGAATTTAAGAACTGTTGGCAAATCTGTGTACCACTGACCACAGAATGTTAAATTGTGGACAGATCACAAGAATTCTCGTGTTTTCTCTTCTAAAGCCTGTGGCCAATCACAAGAATTTTTAAAAAAGATATTAGCTTGTAAGAACATGTAATAAATAACTTCAAAATGCAATGGGCATTTAATTTTAAAGAGTGCCTTTAACATTTATGTAAAACGTTTTTTGTACTCGTTCAATAGAAACTTATCTGATCACTGGGTAAAGCTAGCAATAAAACTATTGGTCCGCAATGTGTTAAGAGATAAGCCTGGAAACTGTAGTTTGTCAGGCTGCAGCCCTAAAGAACTATGATAGGGCAGCCTCCTTGAGGATTTAGAACTAGAAGAAAAACCAGAAAAAGTTTAAGCAAGAGTATAATTCTTCCATTTCTTATCTCACATTCTTTTTTAATCCATTTAAAGGCTGAAAGTAGGTATCAGGACAAATAGAGCGGTTCCACCTTCCTACAATCTCAGGCATTTCTGGAAACTTGAGAGTTGGCTAGGTCGATTTTCAATGGGTGTGTGTGGCAAGCACGCTGGTGTGCCACAAGAATTTTTAAATCATGCAATACCTGACTATTTAGTCAGGGACACTGACCTCTTTTCCCTTAGGTTGTCAAACAAAAAATGACAACAGTCAACATAACAATAGCTGTCTAGTGTGAATGAGTCAAAATTATACCTTTATTTTCTTGTCAGATCAGCAAAAAATATATTTTTGGTCTGCCACAGAATTTTATTAATTAGTTTATGTGTGCCATGAGATGAAAAAGGTTGAAAATTGCTGGGCTAAGTAATAGGGTCCAGTAACAACCCAGAACAAACTGGAAATATAGTCAAATGAGATACTAGCTGGCAAAAAAACCAACCTGTGTGCTATCATAATCACCCTTCCTATATATTCCACGTTTGAGTTGCTCATTTAGTGGTGACTTAAAGAACACTGAAGGTTCTATTTATGTTCACCTCCTACTCCGTTTTTGGTCAGTCTTACATGACCTTATTTGCCTTAAAAAATATAGTATTGTCTACTTTCCCTCCTTAAAATAGCATTAATGTGTCTGTGATAATATGCTAGCATCAAAACTAAACTTTGTATGAAAAAATAATCTAGATATTAGATTTCCAAGGAATTAAGATGTAAATCCGTGAAAATTTGAAATAAAGACAAGCAGAAATGTTAAAACAAGACAGGGTGTTCTGTGGTTTCACTTTTTTTTTTTAAGGACTCGTTTATGAGACAAGTTCTCCCATGATCTTTTTTTCTCCCCTACTCCAATAATGCTCTATTATTCAACATCTAGGAGAAAATACTGCAGTCCTTTTAACGTGCTGTTAATTTCAGGTCCCATAAAACAGAAAGGGGTGGGAAAAGGCATGATACTTATGGAGCCTTCCTCATAAATGCCTGCAGCTCCTTCCAATGCCGGTCTAGTGCCGCGGCTACACTGGTGCCTTTGCAATCTGGCTCCAGCCCTGGGTCCCCAATGACAGAAACTTTATACAACAGAGACCTAAACGCTCCCATGAACCATACAGTTAACAAGTGTGGAGGCAGGTGAACATGAACCTGGCCCCCCTCAAGGAGCAGCCACCATCCTTGGGCTTTGAGGAAGCTACCTGAGGACCATCCCATGCTACATACTACTAGCCAACCTACCTGTTGATAGACGAGTTCCACCAGTTCTTGCAAAGCATCGTCTGTTGTAACCCAGCCATTCAGGGTCTCTGCAAACTGGTCAATTTCAGTTTCAAAACTGCCAGGCTGCTCTGTAAGATGATTCAAGAAATCCTGAACATATTCAGATAGAGTGGGATAATCCTCACAGCCATCCTCATAGGATTCCTGTAGATGCAAAGTTAAAAAGAAAAGTTTTAAGCGTGCAACTGGCTGAAATGAACATGAGGCAGCTTTAGGTCGAGATGGTTCCAGCACAAATAATTTTTTAAAGGATCTTTCATATGATAGATAAAAGTTATTTTATTAATAAAACTAGAGGCCTGATGCACGAAAATTCGTTCAAGAGTAGGCCTTCCTTCCCTCCGACACCCGGGCTTCCCTCCTCTAGCAGTCGGCAGGCACCCAATACCCAGGCTGGCTTCCCCCAGGCCGCCCACAGGCACCCAGAACCCGGCTGGCTTCCCTCCCACCCCGGCTTCGTCAGGAAGGACTTCTGGAAGGATGTCCAGAAGACGTCCGGTCTAATTAGCATATTACCCTTTTATTATTATAGAAGAAGCTTAAGTCCACTTAATTTTGCCCAATGGCCAAAATGTTCTAACAGAAGGGCTCCATCTAGCCAGGCAGGGAATTGTCTTCTCATCCCTAACAGATTTACAAGATGGCTGACAAAGCTTAAACCAATATCAAAATTAAGATTTTAATCTATTTATGGATATAATAAGATCTAAGATTTGCAACGGGAGGGGAGGAGGGGCCAGGGATATAGAACCAATGGCTGGCCACATGTAGCCCTAGCTGGTCTGGCTCAGTGGACAGAGCATCAGCCTGTGGACCGAAGGGTTCCGGGTTTGATTCAGTCAAGGGCACATGCCTAGGTTGTGGGCTCAATTCCAAGTAGGGGGTGTGCAAGAGGCAGCCAATCAATGATTCTCATCCTTGATGTTTCTATCTCTTTCTCCCTCTCCTTTCCTCTCTGAAATAAAAAATATATATTTAAGAAAAAAAAAAAAAAGAATGGCCACATGTAGCTAACTGACGAGGCCATGAGGATTCATTATTCCATTCTCATATCCTAATAGATATTTGACAATTTTTGGAAAAAAGCTAGTAAGGCTTGTCATCTGTCTATCTGTTAATTCTCAAGGACAGGGAAATATATACAGTAAGTGACTATATAATTTCATCATAGTGTACAGTGGTAGGAGACTTTCTGACTGCCATATCCAGACTTCCAATAAATTAAACCAAAGGAAAAAAAAGAAAAACAATGGTCAGGAATAGGAGGATACAGAACTCAATGGTAAGAATAGACAGAGAGCAGGAATTCTAGCAGTGGGATTAGGAGGACTGGAGATAGAAGGGCTTAGAGTTCTGGAAGGGTTAAGAAAGCACAGCAAAAACCTATCAAAATGGCTTTTAGAAAAAGCATGCTTTCTTTTTTTAAAATTTTTGTTTATTGATTTAAGGGAGAAATATATATAGAAACATTGTTGTTCCAACTATTTATGTATTCATTGTACGTGCCCTAACCGGGGATCGAAACTGCAACCTTGGAGTATCAGGATGATCCTCTAACCAATTGAGCTACCAGCCCAGGGCAGCATGCTTCCTTGAAAGCAGATCCAGCTCAAGGACACCAAGCAATAGATTTTCATGTCTAAGAAGAAGACTCAAGGAGTTACGGGAGACCAAGCCAGGAGGCCACTAGAATAGAGGCTCCATGAACGTAGGCATTTTTGCTCATGGTGCTCACTGCTGTACGCCAGTACTTGACTCAGGATAGGTGTTAAGCTGTTGCTGACTGAGTGAGCGAATACAGCTAACTCTGGATTATGGTGACTGTAAGAAGTTTCCCTCACAAGATCCTGCCCTGGCCAGGTGGCTCAGTTGGTTGGAGCATCATCCTGTACACCAGTGGTTCTCAACCTTCTGGCCTTTTAAATACAGTTCCTCATGTTGTGACCCAACCATAAAATTATTTTCGTTGCTACTTCATAACTGTAATGTTGCTACTGTTATGAATCGTAATGTAAATATCTGATATGCAGGATGGTCTTAGGCGACCCCTGTGAAAGGGTCGTTCGACCGCCAAAGGGTCGCGACCCACAGGTTGAGAACCGCTGCTGTACACCCAAAGGTTGCAGGTTGGATCCCCAGTCGAATCGCATACAGGAGGCAACTAATCAATGTTTCTCCCTCTCTCTCTTTTTTCTCTCTTCTTCTCTCTCTTAAAAAAAAAAAAAGAAAGTCAATAAAAACATCCTTAGGTGAGGATTAAGAAAAAACGATCTTATCCTAAGAGTCAGGAGACGAAGTGGCTTGCGGAAAACTCTCAGCCTTGGCAGATGGTTAATGGATGGAGGCTGGAGAATGTACCAGAGCAGGGTGGCAAACTTGAATGCTTACAGAATCCAGGTATATTCCAAGCAAATGAAGTAAGCCAGTGCGCAAATTCGAGCTCACACACACTGTCTAAAGTGGCTGCTTCTATTCAGCCAACTTTCACCAAAATAACAGTCTAGTATGGCCAAATCTTATGATTTCATGACACCACAAAATTCAGATTTGCAATATCTAATTTAAGTATTGGTAACTTATTAAAAATGCTTTAAAAAAAGGCAACAACAGGGCCTAAGAAGACATACACGAGCCATTCTAGCTTGCAATCCATTCTAGGGAATTAAGCAGAGAAGAAGCTGATTAGGGATATCAAAGGATGCCTAAAAGATGCCAGTGGCTCAAAGTAAGTAGACAAACACAGCCATTACTCTGCTTTATAGCTAGCCCAGGAGTCACTTGTAAAACTAGTTGGTACAGAACCATGAAAAAACTACATCCCTCCTCATCATAAAACAACTCAGTCAACAGGGAGAAAAGCAGATGGAGAACTCTGTGGCTGTTACAAGGTAAGTACGCTTAAGAGTTTATTCAACTACTCACAGGTCGCCAACGGTTTCTTTCATCTCTGGGCCAAATATAATCTTCTGGCAAGAATCCAAACTAGTCTCCCTTCTACTTTACATGATTGATAGCTCCTTTCAGCCCAAATCAACTGCTCTTCCCATTATGCCTACACTTTCCAGCCCCAAAGCCTTTTCCTAATGTAGTCTAAGATGCACGGAGATTCTAAAGCAGGAGTTCTCAACCTGTGGGTCTCGACCCCTTTGGGGGTCGAACGACCCTTTCACAGGGGTCGCCTAAGACCATCGGAAAACACATATATAATTACATATTGTTTTTGTGATTCATCACTATGCTTTAATTATGTTCAATTTGTAACAATGAAAATACATATCAGATATTTACATTATGATTCATAACAGTAGCAAAATTAGTTATGAAGTAGCAACAAAAATAATTTTATGGTTGGGGGTCACCACAACATGAGGAACTGTATTAAAGGGTCGCGGCATTAGGAAGGTTGAGAACCACTGTTCTAAAGGATGGAATGTAGTTTTCCCATACTTTCTATCAAATATGGAAGAAAAGCAAAATAAAGGTAACAAAAAAGAGTGCCACCATTAGTTATTGGGTAAATACAAACTAAAACTACTAGATACTACACACCCACAAGAATGGCTAAACTTAAACAAGAGAAAATATTAAGTGGTGGTCAAGCTAATACAGCAACTGGAAATCACACACTACTCCAAGCATACACTGAACAGTCTCAGGAAAACTAGTGGGCAGTGTCTACCAAAGCTGGCTACCTTATGTCCCAGCAATTCCATTCCTTGGTATGTACCAAACAGAGGCAAGGGTGTATATCCATCTAGACATGGCCAGAAATAGCAGCCCTATTCATAATAGCCACAAAGTGGAAGCTACCCCAGTGTTTAACAGACCAATGGGACTGTGGTAACAGTCACACAATGCGATAAGTCACCAATGAGAATAAGTCACCTCCAATTACATGCTACACCATGGATGAATTTTGATTGAATGAAAGTGAGAAACAAATGTAATACATTCAGGATGACTCCATTCATATAAACTTTGAGAAGAGGCAAAACTATTGTTGATTTCAGTGCTGGCTGCCCAAGTGTTCACTTTGTGAAACTTTGAGCTAACCTTTATGTGCACTATTCTGTGTGTTTTATGGCAATAAAGCTAAGAATACAGGAACAATAGGACTTATGCTAAACTTACTATTTCATCAATCCAGAATGGTCCTGCCCCACTTACCTACAATTAATTGCTATGCATTTATTTAGCACAACAAATTCCTTTCTACCCACCCCAATTGTGCTGTTTCATCCTGGTATTTAAGAAAAACATGACCAATTTTTCAAATTCTTATGTTATTGACAAAGATGAATCTGAAAGCTTACAAGTTCTTTATACCTATGTAAACACTTTATCAAAATCCCCTACATTTCCACATAATAATTACAATCATCTACTTCAACTTAACAGAGCCCAGATGTGTACTTCTCAACATTCAAAAACCTACACCAATTAGTCTGCCTCAAAACCACTTTGATTTACCCTAAATCTATCAGTGGGCCTATCTTACTAAACTCAAATTAAAAAATAAACTTTGCCAGGCCCCTATTCTGTATGTTATTCATAAATGCCAGGCCCCTATTCTGTATGTTATTCATAAAGTCGGGCCCACAATTTCAGCTTTATAGATTGAAGCGGGGAGAGGGGGCTTGCCTACATCAAGTCTTCCAGCCTCCAGATACTCTGCAGATGCTGAGAACAAAACAGACGAGAATGTCTGCTCTCAAGCTCACACTCTGATACCCTGATCCTAACTACAACACATACTCCCGAGTCGGTTCTGTGTCCCCCGAGTTCCCTGCATGCATTCATGTCTTTGTGTGCAGCACAGAAAACGCCGGCGTGCTGCTTGCTGAGCGAGGTCAGAAGCACGTTCGCCGGCGGCATTCAGGCACCCGAGCTGAGGAAAGGCGGTGCTCACCGTGTAGTTGGAATAACCCGAGGGGTAGAACTCAGGGGCGTTCGCAGACAGCTTGGACATCAGCACCGGGGCGACGACCACCTGGGGCTTGGCCATCGCGGGCTCCGAGTTCTGCAGGGGGACGCTGTCCTGGGGTCTCGTTTGTTCTGAGGATGGGAAAAAAAAAAAGGGGGGTGTGAGATGCCTTCACGCCTTTGTGTAATAAACGATGTGCCGAAAAGCCACCCGAGAAGGGCTGGTTCTTGAGAGCCACACAAGGACCATCAGGCGAGGCCAGGCCGTGGCAGGAGCGGCGCCGAGGGCCCGCAGGAAGGAACAAAGACCGGCCCGAGCTCCTCCGGGGACGCACGCGCCTCCGCGGCGCAGGCCCGGGGTTCCTCCCGCTGCCGGAGGCGGTTGGGGAGGGTGGCGGCTCCCCCAAGATGTCCCCTCCGAGGGTG